CACACAGTTTTTTCCTATATATACACACCTATGATAAATTTAATTTATAAATTAGTCACAGTAAGAGGTCAACAACAATAACTAATAATAAAATAGAACAGTTATAATAATATTACTATAATAAAAGTTATATGAATATGGTATTATTAAGTAAAATAAGGGTAACTTGAATACAAGCACTGTGGAAATGAGGTAGTTGATCTAATAACCAAGAAGGCTATCAAGCCCCCGTCAAGTGACTCAGTTGATTGGAACATCGTCTTGTACACCAAAAACAAAGGTTGTCAGTTTGTTTCATGGTCAGGGCACATACCTAGGTTGTGGGTTCAATTCCTGGTTGGGGCACAAATGGGAGACAGCCAATTAATTTTTCTCTCTCACACTGATGTTTCTCTCTCAAAAAAAAAAAAAAATCAATAAACATATCCACGGATCAGGATTAAAAAGAAAAAGAAGGCTACCAAGTAACTAATGGGCAACTTACCATGAATAAGTTGAACAAAGCGATGATTCACATCTGGGTGGGATGGAAGAGGACAGCGCAAGATTTCATCACGCTACTCAGAACATCGCTCAGTTTAAAACTTATGAATTGTTTAATTCTGGAATTTTCCATTTAATATTTTCGGACTGCATGTAAATGAAACTGCAGAAAGCTAAACTATGGATAATGGGGAACTCTACTATAGAGGAAGTAGTTGTCTTTCATATGTACGCACAAATAAGCACTTGAGTGTCTCCTTTCTTTCCTGCATAATCCGAGGATTGTGCTATTTAATAGTGGTTTGCTAATCTCTTTAAATAGTTCTTAATGTGAGTGTTCCATAGTTTTCATTAACCATGAATTTTAGCTTTTTTTTTAAACCTCCACTCAAAAAACTGTATTTGGTTGTTATTTCACTAGAACCCTTTTAGCCTGGTCAGTGAAGCAGCAAGCCTACTGCAAATCCTAAATAGCATGGTGTAGATGAGAGTCTAAGACTTTAATTATATGTCATTTTATTCACAACACTCAGTCCCAGGAAGGAAAAAATGACTTTGTTGTTGTAAAAGACATTATGTGAGTATCATTCATTGTAAACCACAAATGATACTGCATTATAGCATAGACAACAATGGGAACTGATTCTGAAAATGTAACCTGTCTGAGAAGCTGAATAATAGGGAAAGTTATCAAAATGGAAAGAAGTGTTAATGTGAAATGCAGCCTTCTCAGAAATACTCTTTCCTGGCCTGTTTGATTTTGCTTTTGTTGCTAGTCATGCATGAATGAAAGTGCTGCACTCTCAGGGGAGCAGGAAAGCCTCTGTGTCGGTTGTTTATTTCCTTAATCCCTCCTCCTTTGTGATTTTTGATGTCAGATCTAAAATGGAAAGCCTGTAAATATAATGATTATCACATGGATAATCACCTGCATTAGGAACCGCCCTGCTTCTCTATTCTAACCTTAGCTGTTCTCCACATGTCACATCCACTCTGTGGTTGGATTTTAACCTGACTGCTTCATTAGATTTTTGAAACTCAGTATGTGGCGCCCTGGGGCAGCACAGATGGGGACTTGCTTGTTTTCTTTTCTCACTTTTACTGCAAAGGCACACTACAAAGTCCTTTTCAATTTAGTGTGATCAGTTCACTTGGAATTACTCTTGATATTTGGAATGTGCCTTACTCTTCTGCCCACCATCTATGCCCCTTTTTCTTCCCTACTTTCTGACCTAATGCCTTTTCTTTCTGTCCCTCTATGCAGTGAATCTGAGGACTAAAATTCTGCTTTAAATTCTTACTGGGTCAAACTGTTCCCCTATGTTGTTTTATTTGTTTTGCTGAGAAGGAAAATAATAAATGTTGTTCCATCAATGTATCTGCAAACACCTTCAGATCAGAGGTTAGCTGTGGTGGGAAAGTCTGCAGTGATGTGAGCCATCTGCCTTCTCTAATGGAGTGACTGGGGCACCAGTCCAAGATCAAAGGAAGGTGGGAGGAAGTCAGAAGATAAGATCTTTTTAAGCCATAGAACAAGTGCTTAGCTTTTCAGTGATAGGGCACAGCTCTGCAAACCTGTGTGAAAGGGACACTAAGATAGAAAATTGAGTTGACTTTTCTTCAGCATGTCCTTCCTCAGTCAGAAGTATGCTAGCACTTGGAATAGTTTACAGATGGGAAAGTGTCCTAGTGTCTGGTTTCCTTAAAGAATAGTGATCTGACATTTATATATGCATCTTGCAATTAGTCAGTTCTATTATACCATATCAGATCACAGTTAATTGCTTCTTAGATTTGCATGAGCAAAACTGGACATTAAAAGAGCAGTTTAACTACCATATGTGAATTTTAAGTTTTAGTGCAATTTTAGTCATACAGATTTTTTTATATTAACTTTATATTATAGACCTGAGGTTCTTTCATGCCTCTCACGTTTCCATATAAATACGTAGCTCTAACAGAGCTTTTCAGTTATCTTTTTCTAAATGTCTTTATTTATTGATTTGAGAGAGAGACACACACATCTATTTGTTGTTCCATTATCTGTGAATTCACTGGTTGATTCTTGTATGTGCCCTGACCGGGGATGGAACCTACAACCTTGGCATATTGGAACGATGTGCTAGCCAACTGTGCTACCCAGCCAGGGCCCAGATATCTTTTTCATATGAGAATTAGCTTGATTAATTCTTGGATTGGAAAAATACTACATTGATATCTTTTGAACCTTATCATTTTCCTTGACATCAAAGTCAGCAACTATTATTGACTATGTTGTGTACAAAATTCTATTGTAAGTAAATTTTCAAAGAGGCTAACCTTGCTTGCACCAATTGCCAAGATCATAATCCAGTTGTTGTTTTTTCAACTACATTACTAAGGCTAAGTTGATCAGCCTGTGCTTCTCTAGTGACAAGCAGAAGTTGTACTTTCAGCCTATCACTTTCTGTCAGCTTCAGTGTTCTGTTGTAATCATCCATTTCAACCTTTTTAAACCCTCAAAATGGTTTTTTAAATTTATATATTTATTAGTATATAGGACCATAAGTGCATACATACTTTTTTCTTAGTGTTTTCCTTAACATGTAGATAGTACCCAAATTTGTGCTAGAGACGTTGACTGTACTTTCTGCCTTACATGGTTTGGTGCAGCAGTCGTTTTAGTTGAGTTGGATCTGCTCACTACTTGGGCTCAAATCCCATCCTTCTATTAATATCTCTTGGCAGAGATAATTTTGGAGGAATGTAAGTTAAGATGTAGAGGCTCTTGACAGTTGTCTGCAGTGTTGTTTTTTTTTTTTTTTTTTTTTTTTTCCGTTTTCAAGAGGGAAGTAGAGTTGACAAGTAATATTGCCTCCATTTTCTGTATCAGTCCTAACATTAAAATACATGCACAAAACAAAGAGTAGAGAAAGGGGAAGGATTTGGTTGCATGGATTTGTTTTTGTCATTTGATAGCCTGCTAGGACAGCATTAGGGTATCTAATAATGTTCATCAGATTATGCCCTTAAGATATTTAATCCTAGAAAAACATTATGTGTTTTAACTATATATTTAATGTTCAACTTTTGTTATTTAGTCATCTTATACCAAAGAAAAATGATGGTTTGTTTGAACTGTGTTTTTGTAATTTTCAAACAGTCAAAAAAGTAGAAATACTGAATATATCTAGATTTAACAATTAATACTTTGCCATTTTAACTTGGGGATCAAACTGCTAAAAATTAAGGACATTTCGGCCTGCAGTCCAGAGAGACTTGGATTCAGTTCCCGCTAAGGGCATGTACCTCGGTTGCAGTTTGTCCCCGGCCCTGGTTGGGTCGTGTGGGTGGCAACCACTTGATGTGTCCTTTTCATGTCGATATTTCTCTCTCTCTCTCTTCCTCTCTCTCCCTTCCACTCTATCTGAACAAAAAACGAAAAAATGTCCTCGGGTGAGGATAAAAAAAAAAATTAAGGACATTTTTCTTATCAAATTGATAATTCTTAATGTTATCTAATTCTTGAAATATTTAAATTTCTCCAATTATCCCCAGAATGTCCTTTATACCTGGTTTGTTCAAAACAGGATACAGTTAAGGTCTGTATATTGCTCTTGGTCATTTTTCCCCTCCCATTTTATTATGAAATTAACTTTTTAAAGAGACCAAGCTACTTGTCCTATAAAATGTCCTACCTGTGGATTTGTCTATTTGCTTTCTCAGTGTATCACTGAACTTGTTCTCCTATTTTTTGTATTTCCTGTATATAGCAAGTTATTTAATTAGAGTTTGATTATTTTATTTTTAAAACTTTTGGTCAGAAAACTTTATAGATAATGCTGGGTACTTCATACTGCATCATAGCAGAGGGCACCGAATATTTGGTGACCCTACTATTAATGATAATAAGTGATATGGTCAATCACTGGGTTAAGGTTATGACAGCTTGATCCTTCCATTATAAAGTTAGAGTTTGCTCCCCGAAATCGGCACATAATCTTGATATATTGATCCCATGAATTACCCAGTTCCCCATCATCTTTTCACATAATGAATTTAGCGTTCATTGATGATTCTTGCCTGAATAAATTTGATGAGAGATTGCAAAATGATGGGGGTTTCTCTTAATCTATACATTTACTAGCAAACATTCTTCTCTACAGAAGAGCTTTCTGAAAGGTATTGTTTTAATTAAAAATATAACCACGAGCATGTTCCTTAGGTTTCAAATAATTGTCTTTCTTTGTTGGGGTCAAAACACCTGAACTCACTGTGACAGCTACAGTAAAAACATGCATTACATCTTCTTTATTCCAACTTGTGAAGTGTGTTGACATTATGCTGCCCTTTTTTTTTTTTTATGCCAAGGAAAAAATAAGTCTTTTTTGGTGTAAGAATAAAAATTGAACTATGTGGGTATATTGAGATAATTGTGTAAAAAGAAGACTGTGAATGAGTTTCAAAATGGATTATTTCTTCATTACCTCGTACTTTATAATTAACTGTTCTTTTTTTTTTTTTTTTTTTTTCTTCAGGAAGCTGCCACTTTTGCTAGAGAGCAAGGCTTTGAGGTGAGTTAACCCACAATTGCACACTAAACAGATCCTAAAGGTTTTTTCTAGCTGATAATGAAGTTCTTTTGGACAGTGATTGATGTGCTATTATACTCTCAGAGCCTCTCAGCAGTTGCCATGGAAACTTGGCAGTCGTCATGGTTTCTTTGTTCTGCCAGCACAGTGTTATGACGCACTCTGCTAGGTCTGCACCCAACATCGCCTACAGATGTTATTTATTGAATTTTGAAAAGCCTCTTGGGAAGCCAAGAGGTTGGGCACGGTTTCAAGCTGCCTCTGCAGATATGGGGCCTGTCAGTTTGTTCAGTTAAAAAGCTACCTCATTAGCTGCATTACATTTCATAAGGATTCACTGTTAAAGCAGTGGTGGAGCAAGACTAAATAGTGAAATATAATGTCGTTTAAATAAGTTCAGCCCTACCCCATGTAGATTATCATTATGCAAATTAATTTCCAAAAGGTTGTACTTAAACAGTTGTTAGGAACTGATTAATTTAAATCCTGCTCATAAAAACTTCCTGTTTGAATCCTTTTTCCTCCTCCTTTCTTTTTTTCCTCTTTTTGCCCAGGGCAGGGGGGATAGCATTAAAACACATATAAATTTTTGAAACTAAATATCAATAATTGTCTGTAACCCTGGCCGGTTTGGCACAGTAGATAGAGCATTGGCCCGTGTACCAAAGAGTCGCGGGTTCAATTCCAGTCAAGGGCACGTGCGTACCTCAGTTGCGGTTCATCCCCAGCCCTGTTCGGGGTCGTGCAGGAGACAACCAGTCGATGTGTCTCTCTCACATTGGTGTTTCTCTCTCTCTTTCTCCCTCCCTCCCTCCCTCCCTGCCACTCTATCTGAAGATAAATAGAAAAATATCCTTGGGTGAGGATTAAAAAGTAAAAATAAAATAAAATGAAAAAATAATAATTGTCTTTAATTATCTGGTCCTGATAAGTGTTATTTTGTCAAGATTCAAAATTCCATGTGTTTTTTGTTAGCATAATTAAGGTAACAGACAAAACCATATTTTTATCTATTAAATGTCTATCTTTTAATCGACTGTTAGAAAACACTGAACCCAGGTTAATTAACAGAATTATAATTTAGTTTATGAGTTTTATGATTATCATATCTACTGAACCAGAATTATGTAGAATGCTGTGTTCTATACCACAACTTGGAATATTACACATTAGTACTTTTTAAAAATTTAATCTGACTAGAGCTGGAAAATAGAAACTCTCTTTATTTGCATACTCAGTATTCTCTACTATCTAAAGAAGCTGTGAGTGTTGATTGGCTATATTAGTAAACTCACTTTGAACTCTTTAGAGAAAGATGTGTGAATTTATGATGAAACTATTATTTAAATGTACTAAAGGCAGATTCATTATTGAACAACAAAGTAATATACGTGCATATTGTCCTCATCATAGAACTTAAAAACCATAGTACTTCCCTTCTTTGTGTGTGTTTGTTTGTTTTAGATAGAGCGGGAAGGAGAGAGGGAGGAAGAGAGAGAGAGAAACATCGATGTGAGAGAGACACATTGACTGATTGCTACCCACACGACCCAACCAGGGCCGGGGACAAACTGCAACCGAGGTACATGCCCTTAGCGGGAACTGAACCTAGGACTCTCTGGTTCGTGCGCTGACACTCTAACTGCTGAGCCAGACTAGCCAGGGTAGTGCTTCCCTTCTTAGAGGAAGACAGTGAGCATGTAGTATAAGTAGTCTAGTCTCAAGATTCTAAGAAAAAACTTTATCAGAGTAGGAAACTTTGGGAACTATGATAGTTTATTGGGAATTTACCCTTTTTGTTTTACTGTATATATTCTCATGAATATCGGGGTTAAGTCACATGTAGAAGAAGGAATAAAGATTTCCATGTATTTTTTATCTAATTTAAATTTTGCTTTGTAATTTTCCGAACTGGCAATTTATAGACAAGACTACATGTAATCAAAGGAATATTCAATTTAAAAGTCAAATGTTTTAATCATGAGAATATAAGTAAATGTTTTCAGTCATGTCTTAAAGTTTCACTGATGTTAAATTTTAATAATCACTATTGATATTCTCTGTTTTTACATCAAAATTTTCCACCAAGGAAAGCTTGTGGATCATAAATTGTATCCTATTTTCTATGCTAACATAAAAAATGTATTTTGGTTCTAGAAAATAAATAATTTTATAGCTGCTTAGAAAGATAACATGTTACATAACAAATGATCATGATTCTTTAGTACCTAGATAATAATTTTTTAAAATAGTTTATTAAGGCTAATTCATACTTTATTGCCCCCTTGAGCTATATACTTTTAATATGCCTGGTTTAAATTCAGTCCTAGCAACAAACTGATTTTTCTGTTTTCTACTAACCAACACCACATTAACCTTTCCATTAGTTTTTACTTTGATTCTATAATTTTTTTACCATAAATCTGCCATAATTGATTACAGCATATAAACCAAGTGGTGATAGTTATAATAATATACCTTATTACCTCCTGACATAGTAAAACTGCTCTGTTGGTGATGTTGACAGTAATATGTTAGATTAGATAAAGCACACAGTTTTGATGTGTCCCTTCATGCATTCTCTAAAATATTGTAAGCCTTGCAGAATATATAAGAGCCATGAGTAGAATAACCTCAAGTACTGTCAATAAAATATAATCCATGTAAGGGGTGGTCTCTAGAGAAATTCAGTGATTTTAAAACGCCATTACTTTTCTTAGTTCATTACACAGTAATATGAAAACATAGGTTTGAAACTTGGTATTTTTAAAGAATTAAACAAAAATAAATCATTTTATCTTAACAGTTTAATGTCTATGGGAGTATATCAGTGCTCTCAGAAGTCTAGTGTGACAAACTAGACAAAGTCTGCATTTTATCACTCACAACTTTAATTTTACCTCTAAATTTGGGGCATGAAAGAGAGGAGAGAACTGAAAAGATTAAAAAGAAAGGAAAGGTGACCATTTTTTTCTTCCCACCAGCTCTGCTGTCCTACCCTCATTTTCTATTATAAATCTTAATCAGTTCCCAAAGCCACTGAGTATTGCCACTGATGATCTGTCTGTCTGCTAACAGACCAGTCTAAATGCCTCTAAAAATAATCACTGTTTATTCACCAGGAAGTATCCTCAGCAGCATTGTTTATGATATTCTGGTAGCTTCTCTGCAAATTTTAGACAATCTTCTTTTTAAAAAAAATCTTTAATCTTTAAAATGAGTTGGGCAATTTTCAGTAAGAAGAGCCAGCTTAGGAAGGCACTGGAGAATGAGATAAAAACTGAAGCTGGGCAGAGCACAAAGCAGAAGAGAGAGGACTTCATATATATATGTGATAGCAAATATCATAGTGCCTGATTTAAATGACAGACCTGCTAAGAATTTAGAATGACAATTCTTGAGGTAAAAAGTTTCATGAGGCTTTTATTACTCTGGAAAATCAGTTCAGACTGCATTGTGTTTTTAAATCTACCTTATCTTGAGCTAAACTTATTAAAGGTTTGTAATTTAGAACCTATATAAAAATAAGGTACTTAAAAGCGTGTTTCATTATGAAACCTTTTAAAAGCTGTATTGAAAATTGATTTAAATTAAATAAAGTGAAGAAAATACCTCAAAAACCTAAATACAAATATTCTTTATATTTTCATTCTCTGTACAATAAAGTATGTCCCCAATGATAAAGAGAAGTCTTTTCTGCTGGATCATTCATTTATTTTTACTCTAAGCAACAAATTTAAATTTTCTTCTTATAGATGTCTAAAATATAATACTTCTGGCTATTGAGGAAACAAAACAATTCTTTTCCCTCTTCCAACTTTCTCCACAGCCCCTGACTCTACCTAGAAGATCCCTGACTTGTAGGCTTTTTCTGACCAACGGTGACTCTATCATCTTACACCACTGAGAGAGAGAAGTGTTGAGCTGTGCTGTCCAATATGGCATCCACTAGCCACATGTGGCCACTGAAATTTAAATTAAGTAAAATTTAAAATCCAGTTCCTCAGTCTCACATTTTGAGCAAGACTATCATATTGGACAGTGCAGACATAAACCACGTGTATCACCACTGGTCAGCACTGGAAAGATAAAGTCCACACAGAATATTCAGGAGACCTTGATTCCCAAAGAATTCTTCAAGGTTTTTCTAAGGTTCCTGTGTTCCTCACAGATATAAAGAACAAAATGAATATTACCCAGAGTTTCTGGAAATAAGACACTAAGTCAAGTCCTGCTGGCTAAAAGAGTATACAATACAGTGATACCTCGGTTCTCGAACGCCTCGGATTTCGACCAAATCGGTATTCGACCAGGAGATTCGAGAAACTTTTGTCTCGGAATCCGAACAAATATTTGGAACTCGAACTTCCGAGATGAGCCGAGTTGAGCCGAATGGCGTTCATCCGGCCCAGCGCGCCTTGCTTGCGTCATCAGTGTGAGTGCAGAGAGAGAGTCACGCTTTGTGGAGAGAGTCACGCTTTACACTGAATTTAACCCTTAGACATACTGTACACTTTTATTTCTTGTTGAGACTTATGTTTTTCTACATATTATATACAAATTAGGCCAGTAAATAGGCATTTTCTGGGGCTTGGAACGAATTAATCCAGTTTCCATTATTTCCTATTGGGTTTCATTGCTTCGGTTCTCGAACAATTTGGTTCTCGACCGTCCTCCTGGAACGAATTATGTTCGAGAACCGAGGTATCACTGTACTGTTTTCCTAGGCGACTGAGTCCTAAAAGGACTAAAACAGTTTTAAAACAGATTAAGGGAAAGAGATAAGATCTTTATTTGATCATTTACTTATTCAACAAACATTTACAGAGCACTAGCTATGTGCCTAACACTTCGATAAACCCTGAAGACAAGATAGAAATGACCAGAGAGTGAATTGTGAAGGAAAACGTGGAAAGGGGTTTCTGTTTTGGAGATTATCATGAAATAACTCTCTGAGAAAGTAAAATTTGAAATATACAATTATCTAGCCATGACATAAAAGAAAGCAAAACAAACAGGGAAACAAATTTCAGAGGGAACAAGAGTACAAAAGCTCTCAAACAAGAAAGAGCATAATGTACTATGTACTCCAAGAGCTGACAGAAGGTCAGTGTCACTGAACAGAGTGAGTGAGGAGGAAGGGAGTATGAGATAAGACTGGAGAGGGACACATCACATGAACAACATAATTATTATAAGAGTTTCTATTTGGAAAACAAAACAGAATATGACATGGTTAAGTGAGGCAATGTGGGGACACCACAATTGGTATTCTATAGATTTAGGTAGATTGTGATCATATTGTTTAACATTTGCATCACCAGCTTGTTAAAAATAGAATGAAGAGAATAGATTCTTTAATTTGGCAGACAGTGCTAAATTTAAAGTGTTCATGTGATCACTAGTGACAATAAAGGCATAATTTAACATTTATAAAATGCTTCATAGTTTATAAAACCTTTCCCAACATTTCACTAATACATTTAATATGCACACATACCTTTGGGGGTAGGTAGGGCATGTATTGTCATATCAAGTTAATAGATACAAAATAAGCTACATGACTTGTATAGGTGACATAGCTAATACATAATGGAGTTGGAACCAGAGATTAGCTCTCCAAGTTCAGTACTCTACCATATAAACTACACATCTTTCTCTCTCCCATTCTAATGATTTGGAAGAGGAGATTAAATTTCCAGATGACCTTGGAAAACAAGAAATATCTTGAAATTTAAAAGGGGATCAGGGTGGAGAGAACTAGATGAAAGAAGGTGAAGAGATTAGCCAAAGAATATATATGCATAACTCATGGACACAGACAACAATGTGCTGATGGCCAGTAGGAAGGGGGGGTGAGGGTTGGATAGAGGTAGACAGGGGGGTAGTGATAGACAATGGGGGTGGTGACAGGGACACCTGTAATAGTTTCAATAAAAAAGAAAATAGCCTTGGCTACTGTGACTCAGTGGTTAGAGCATTGGCCTGTGCACTGAAGGGTCTTGGGTTTGATTTCCAGTCAGGGGCACTATACCTGGGACCCAGTTTCATTCCCCAGCCCCAGTCCTATGCATGTGCAGGAGGCAGCCAATCAATGCATCTCTCACACACAGATGTTTCTCCCTCTCTCTTTCTCCTCTCCCTACCTCCCTTTCACTCTCTCTCTAAAAATCACTGGGAAAAATATCCTCGGGTGAGGATTAACAACAACAAAAAAAGACTCATGGACACAAACAACAGTATGGTGATTGTCAGAGAGAAGGCGTGTGGCGGGAGGTAGCAGAGGGTAAAGTGGGGATAATAGTGATAGAAGGAGACTCAACTTGGAGTAATAAACACACAATACAGTAGACAGATGATATATTGTAGCAGTGTATATCTGAAACCTCTATAAGTTTATTAACAAATATCACCCCAATAAGTTCAATTAAAAAATAAATTAATGTTTTTTTTAAGTTACCAAAGCTCTATAAAAAATTATGTCTTTCCACAGGGTTGGTAGAAGATAATCATGGAATCTTGTTCTTAATTTATTCCTTAAACCACCTTGAAGAAAGACTTCTATTTAAAAAACATCCAGTACATGCATAAGATGCTGCTCCCAAGATGATAAAGTGAATCTATTCCTGGAGTTTGCCTCTTATCTTTATTAAATATGAACTGTACTCAATCATAAGCAAAAAAATCCCACAGTAGTCAGTAGTAAAATATATGTGTGCCAAAGGCAATTGGGAGAATATATGTGAGTAATTTTAATTAAATGTATACATTTATTTGAGAGAGTGAAGACATTGTTAGATGGCATTTTTTGGAACTAGTCATATCTTTTTTTTGCTAGTCATTTATAATAGTCTTTTCCCAAAACTAAGGGAATTTCTTTTCTCATCTTATCTGAGTTCACGCTTAGTTCTGTTCTAAAATCAGCGACCAGGAGTGAAATAGTCAGCATGTTTGAAAGGTCAGCAGCATTGTTAAACCAAAAGTGGCTCTTCTTTTCAGTAACAGGAGTCCCCTGGTATTATAATGTTAGGTATAGTAGAAGCTTAGCTTCATTATCATCTGAAATTTCTTAAGTTTTTAGTGAACAAACAACATACAAGTATTTTACTAAAGACTTTAAAATGTCATGGTTTCTGATGTTGTTTATAACCATTGTGACTCATCTGCCTTGCTTACCTAAATGTTTCCATCCTGTATATCCTAATTAACTTCCTTTACGCCATGCAGATATCTTTCCCCTCTGGTTGTGTTTCTCTATCCGTAACTGTCTGAAACTTTGCACAGTGATAGAGTACTAACGAACAAACGCAAACCATGGGCAGTTTTAGAGGCTGACTGAATTCAGACATGGATTTTTTAATTATCTAAAATTGTTGAAAGCATGATTAGACTGACAGCCTTCAGAAGGGTGGTGGGGGGAGGAAGAGATAAACCACAGAACTTATATTGCATGTACGCATAACCAATGGACATGGACAACAAAGCCAGGGACGGGGTGGGGGCGATGGGGAGGAGGGTGTCAATGGGGTAAAAAAGGGGAAACATCTGTAACAAAAATAAAATAAAATTTTTTAAAAAGTTAGGTTTCGCGTCAAGAGCATTTCAGATATAAAACTTCATGGCCTGTGTGATATGAAAAATAGCAACAGGGTTTCTAGAATTAATTTGTAATTTTTTAAACTATCTTGTTTAAAGAAAATCAAGTCTGTAGTTAACCGTTAGCACCTCTCTCTCATTTTAGTTCTTTGAAAAACTTGGCTTTATAGTAACTGTATTATTTCCAAAGTCAATATAATCATACTCTGTATACCCCTAAAATAATTTAATAGTCTTCTTTCTACAAATTCTTTATTGGAAATTTTAAAATTGATTGGATATTTGCTGATATTAAGGGGTTATTGTTTATTTTTTTAATATGGCTGAATGTTATTTTATTGTGTGTGTGTGTGTATATGTATACACACACACACATATATATATATAGTTATGTGGTTGTTTAAGTTGTTATTTTTCAGAGAGACATGGTAAAACATTTATAGAACATTATATAGTATCTGGAATTTGCTTAAGAATAAAATGAAAGGCAGTGGATGAGGGTATAGATGAGATCAACTTAAAATGGTTACAGTTTGATGGTGGGCTCCTTGGAGGTTATTGTGCTAGTATATTTACTTTTGTATGTGGTTAAAATTTTTAAATAGTAACTCTTAATAGATGTTCAAGTCTCTCTTAAACATGAGAGGCTAAATCCTTACTCTAGTGATAAAGGTTTGCCTTATTGTACTGGTGATGAGAATTTTTTCCTCCTTTCTATTAATAGACTGAAGACATTAAAGAGATAGCCAAAAAGACACAAGCTCTGCCAAAGGTGAACTTGAAGAGGCAGCGAGTCGTGATTTTCACCCAAGGGAGTGATGACACTATTATGGCTACAGGTACACATGCAAACTGTGTGAGAAAACCAGTGTTATGGAGATTAACCATTTATAACAAAATTCTCTATAACAGAACAATGTACTTTTTTTTAACCATCTTAACTCATTTTGCTTACACACACACACACACACACACACACTGCTTCTGGCAATCACCAGTCTGTTCTCTGTATCTATGAGTTTGGGGTTTTTTAAGGTTCTACATGCAAGTGAGATTTTGTCTTTCTCTGTCTGACCTATTTTACTTAGCATAATGCCCTCAAGGTTTATCCATATTGTTGCAAATGGAATGATTTCCTTTTTTTTTTTTAATGGCTGAATGTTATTTTATATATGATATATATTGTGTGTGTATATATGATATGATATATAATATATCTCACATTTTCTTTATCTATTCATCCATCAAATGGACCACTTAGGTTGTTTCCATGTCTTGCTATTATAAATAATGCTGCAATGAACATGAGGGTGTGGATATCATTCTGAGTTAGTGTTTTCATTTCTTTCAAATAAATACCCAGAAGTGGAATTGCTGAATCATATGGTAGTTCTATTTTTAATTTTTTGAGGAAACCCACACTGTTTTTCATAGGTGCTACACCAATTTACATTTCCATCAACAATGCACAAGGGTTCTTTTTTTCTCCATGCATGTCCTTGCCAACACATATTCCTTGTCTTTTTAATAATAGATACTTTAACAGGTGTGAGGTGATCTCATTTTGGTTTTGATTTGCATTTCCCTGATGATTAGTGATGTTGAGGACCTTTTCATGTACCTATTGATCATGTATATATCTTTTATGGAAATACATCTATTCAGATCTTTCAAATTGTTTTTATTTTGTTTTTTTAGTTTTTTGGTTTTTATGTTTTGTTTTTTTGCTGTTGAGTTGTATGAGTTCTTTATATACTGTGGAGATTAGCTCCTTATCAGATAAATAATTTGCAGATATTTTCTCCCATTCCATGGGTTGCCTTTTCATTTTGTTGATGGTTTACTTTGCTGTGCAGAAGTGTTTTTTGTTGTTGTTACTGTTTTGTTTTAGTTTGATATACCCCCACTTGTTTATTTTGCTTGTGTGGCTTTTGCTTTTGGTGTCAAATCCAAAAAATCATCACCAAACCAATGTCAAGAACCTTATTCCCTCTTTTCTTCTAAGAGTTTTGTGGTCTTAACTTTCAAATCTTTAATTCATCTCAAAGAGATTTTTATGTATGCTGTAAGGCAGTGGTCCACTTTCATTCTTTTACCTGTGGCCTTCCAATTTTCCAAACACCATTTATTGAAGGGACTGTTGTTTTCCCATTGTATATTTATGGTTCCTTTGTCATAAATTAATTGCCAATATATGTCTGGGTTTATTTCTGGGCTTCCTGTCTTTCCCATTGACCTATGTGACTGTCTGTTTTTATGCCAGTATCATACTATTTTTATTACTATGTCTTTGTAATATAGTTTACAGTCAGGAAGTGTGATGCCTTGTTCTTTCTCAAGATTGCTTGGGCTATTTGGTCTTCTGTGGTTCCATATAAAATTTAGGATTTGTTGTTCTATTTCTGTGAAAATGTACCTTTTAGTGTGTGTGTGTGTGTGTGTGTGTGTGTGTGTGTGTGTGTACCTCCTATCTCAGTGGGAAACATTTTATTTTCAAGAAGATCATTTATGAAAAATCATTTGAGTAAATCTACCTTGATTTAATTTATTTACTTTGATATTTTGGAGATACTGTCAATCTAAAAATGTCTTTCCTGAAAAACATACATTTTAATTACCAAATACCTGTACTCCAATAAAATAAATTTATCCAACTATGAGTAAATATAAACCAGGTATGTTACTTCATCAATTTTAAACTTGAAGAAGAAAACCTTACTTCTGCTTTTACACAGCCATCTATTTTGTAGCATTCATAGAACTAAAATAGGAATTTTCTCTAGTCAACAAACATTTTATCGATTAAAATTATTAATATTGTCAATATGATGCTACCTACTATTAAAGCCAAAATACAAACCTTTGAATTCTGTCTGAACCATTAGGATTAAAACCAATCAGTTAATTAATAATTATTATAAACAGTAGCAGTTATTACCTTTGTATTTATTCAGTACTCTGTTGAACAAGGCAACTTAAGATATGAGTCCTAAAGTTCTCAGAAATAAAATTAATACACATCAGTATATGAATATAAGAAAGTGTAACTACACTTCTTAATTATTGGTATAAACTTATGGGTTTTTATTGACTCCGAGAAAGAAATCAATAAAGCTTCAAGAAAGATTTTATAGTGACTATGAAGTAAATTTTTGTTGAACTAAATATATAAGCTTGAAAAAGGTAAAAGAAATTATTGTCCAATTTGGGGGAAGTAGGGACCCTAGAATTAATTAATTTCAACTTTTTTATTTTAGAATTGTCAAAAGCAAGATTCAGAAATTTACTTTAAAAAATACTTATTTCAAAATAATTCAGTGAATAGTAAATAGTGAAGTGGAGTTATAGATGAAGTGAGATTAGTCATGAGTTAATAATTGTGGAAGCTGGGTGATGGAGACATGGGGGGGTAGTCATTGTGCAGTTATGTCCACTTGTGTATATGTTTTAAATTTTCCATAATTAAAAGTATAAAAAAGAGAAAGACAGCCCAGCCAGCGTGGCTCAGTGGTTGAGCATCGACCCATGCACTAAGAGGTCACTACTTCGATTCCCGGTCAGGGTGTATGCCCAGGTTGTGGGCCCGATCCCCAGTGGGGAGCATGCAGGAGGCAGCCAATCGATGTTCTCGCTCATAGATGTTTCTCTCTTTCTCTCCCACTCCTTTTCTCTCTCTCTCTGAAATCAATAAAGAAAAAAAATTTTAATGTTAAAAAACAGAAAGAAAAGTAAAACTTAATTTTTCAAATATAGTAAGTGATTTATTTTCCCCAGACACATTGATATCCTTGCTAAACCTTGAATTCTGAGAAATATTTAAAAAAAGGAGGGCAATCCAGTCAAAGAGGATATGTGAGCAAAGATACCACATACTATATAATCTTCTATTGTTGTGCCAGGAAAAGCCATGTTGTTAATTTGTACAAGAGAGAGAAGAAATGTCATGAAAAGATATCCCTGCATTGATAATAATTATCTGAATTGCTGTCTTTCTATAGTATGTGGCCTATTCCTGTCTTAGCAGTGAACATCATTTGGAAAAGTGAAAAACATACAGACTTACTATCTTATAAGAATTGTCATACTGCCTTCAGACTCATAAAATGCTATTTGGTTGCTCTTTATGGAGACATTTATTTTAAGGCTTTATTCCAGATATACATATTGTACAAGTGTCTTGTGAATTAGCACAAATTTCCCAAAATTGAAACCTTTAAAATTAGCCTCCTCTTCCTGTGACTGAATTTGTCAACTCATTTTGTTTTTTATTAAATATATTAAAGCATTCTTAGGAATGCTAACCAGCAGAAATTTATTTGAGGAAAGACACTGGAAATCTTTGCTGTTTCTACTATATGAAAATGAACTTAAATTAGAGGGTGTACTTTATCTGCAATGCATGATAAATACAAGATGGATAGAGAATCTGTTCAGTGGTGTCAGCTACAAAAGCAAACATGATAAATGTTAATGCAGTTTTGAGCCCTGGGATAAGCTATTCAGTGCACAAGCATAGCTGAATCTCTTTGCTATGTTGTTATTCATGGCAGCCAAATAAATGTCAATAATAAAAGAGAATTAAAGATTTTCATTTCCCAGAGGCAATCCTCTAATACGGCTTGATCTTTCATTTCATTTGTAATTCGTTCTCATGTCAGGATGCAATCATTTGCCAGGCTCTGGGTGTCATGTTAAGTCATTTAATAATGATTAAGAACATAAAAATGCTTGGCCTGTGGGGCAATCCACAGAAGAGATGCCAATTTGTTATTGTTTTTCCTCCTTTCCTCTTGAATATGGATCAGTTTTTTCCCACCTCCTAGCATTAAAATACTAATGGAATATAGGGAGGGAAAGTGTCCCTTAATTTACCATAAATGACATTCCAGAATGGCTAACACACTTATTAAAACACTAATTAGGAATCATTGGTCCTTAAACCTCACACTGTAGAGTATTTTTAAATGATCACTGTTAAGTTTGTGGCATTTAGCAATAATATAACAAAAACAGGTTCTTTGGTATTTAAATCTAGAGACCTTTCTCCTCTTGAAATAAGGTGTCTATATACCACTTTCTATTGTTCTATAAATGTAATTCTTTGAATTCCTGTACTCTAAGTTTCCTGTGAATCAAAAAAATCTTTTCTGCTTACCCTATTTTTTTGGCCACCTCTATTTCAGTTGGGTATCCATCCTCTATATCCCTCAGCCCAGTGGGTTTGACACATATGGGTCATTGTTTCATTGCTTGCAGGCTGAGTTCCAAGCTTTGGGGATGGGGATGGGGTGGGGAGGGTGCTGGAAAGTAATAAGAGTAAGAAGCTGGGAATGAAAGACAGGAAGGAAAAGATGATTGTGTTCATTTGATCCTTTTAATAAATGTTGAATGAACTTGTTAGGTATGATGGAAGTCAGGTCAAGGAAATCATTTTGTATCTATAAACTTTAGAAAAACTAAGACTACATACAGAGTGGTACTAAAAAGGGCTTTATATATTAACACCTTATTATATTAAGGATTGTACTGAAAAAATAAATATTTTTATATATATACATACATATAAACACATATATATAAGTGTTTATAGAAAGTTTAAATTTCTCCAAGTTCCTGTACTAAATGTATCACTAAAAATTGGGAAAAGCAGTAAGGCTTTTATTCTAAATTGAAAATAATGCATTTCATACAGTGGCTTTTATACGACCATGAAATGGGTCCACTGAAGAATAAAATGTAGACTTTTCTGAATACTTTCAGAAATCTTTCTAGGCTGTTGACTTGTAATTTTGCTCAAAAGGAGAAAATAGGTTAGGTCAGAGGTTTTCAACTAGAACAC